AAAACCGTTATGGCTATTGGCTTTTAACTTAAACTATTTATATGAACAAACAAATAATGTACCTATAGCATTATTGTATTCAGATTTGCCTAAAATACAAATACAAAAACATTTGTGTTGGCAAGCCAATTTTTCAACATTTGTTTTTTTTTTAAATATCATTTTTGGTGCGGCCATAGAAAATTAAATAAATAAATAAAACATTAATTTAAATTAGTTGCTGACCATGATAAATTGTGGTTTGAATGTATCCAATTGAGATACCATTTGGCACTCTTGGCGGTTATCAAAACTCTTCGAAAGCCGCATGAACTTGGTTATTATAAAATTGGAAACTGGTAGCCTCAGATGTTCTAGGGGTCACATACCAGTTCGTATAGTTGTGTTAAATGCTACGCATATTGCGAATACATAATTAAAATTAATCTTACTAATCTTTTAAAGCATGAGCTCCTTTGTTCTAAATATGTGAACAAAACGACTTGAAAATACATCACAAAAATAATCTATTCTTAAAAATACAAAATCTTGCACAGGCTCTTTTATAAATATAGCCTTTTTTCAATGGAATGGAACTTCTAACCATGACTATATACATATTTAACGAAACTATATTCACCACTTAAACGACATTAGTTTCTTTAGATAGATATATTTCTGAATGATACCGCGTGATATTCAGTTCGACTTCCCGTTGCTGCTTCTCAAGTTCAAACACTCAATTGTTAATAAGTTTAAATATAAGTCCATCCCAATACTTCAATGCTTATACAAGTATGCCAAACTCATAAAAATACAAAAAATACAGAAAATATAAAGATATTCCGACTTGCTAAATAATTCGCAGTACTTGTATATGTTTTTCGTAGCCTAAAGGTTTCTTTTCTTTGTGAGTTATGAGGAACTAGGCTTTTCCGTTTCACTTACCAGTTCTTAATTAAATGTATACATCGTTTTATATTTTAAATACGCCATATTCATGTATACACTTCATTAGCATTTAACACTTGTGCACCATCTCTACACTTCAAATGTGTATGTTCATTTCGCGGAAAACTCAAGGCTGGCTCCACACAAAGCCAAATAGTTGCAACTTTCAATGTGTGACTTGACTGCACTTGGCTTTTCCTTAATATTTTTCCTCAATGGCAATTTCAGCATTTTCCATTTCCCATAACGGAGCACTCATTTCCATTTACACAAATACCAACAGCAAAAACATCATCATTAAAACATACTATATGCAGCTGTAAAAATAAAATATTCACACCATAATGCAACAAAGTGAAACAAAGTAAAAAACAACAAAAATAAAAAGACGCCGCTATATAAAGCTGCGTTAATTATGTGCATTTAATGTTTTAATTAATGTTTTCTTTCTGCGTTGCCTGTGTCGCAGATGCTCAGTGAAAGTTTAATGCTGCAAAATTAAAACATTTAACAGTAATGGAAAAGAAATATCGAATTAAATAAATAGATAACTCACAAACTTGTTGTGCGCGTGTGTGGGCTTTGCTGAACATTTTCTTACGTGTACAACGTACATGTATGTGTGTAAATGTATCTATGTAGTATATACTCGAATATATGTTTACCAGTATATCTCTGATTGTATGCGAGTGAAATTTATCAATGAAAGTGCAAATATGGATATTGAAGATGATCGTGAGTTTGGCGAGTGTTGGAAGCCAAATTCCAGACTCATACTCGTAGCAGACACACTCTATATTTTTTGTAATATTTTTGTATTTTTTGTTACGTTAGTATTCCTTTCATTAGCTTCTAAGAAGGCTTCTTAGAAAAATAAAAGGAGCGGATCCCTTTAATGTCGTTGACTGAAAACCAGAGGCTTATCGTAAGATTTACTTTGCAGTCGCCATTAATTCGCTCATACGATTCTACAAGTATATCTATCTATACCATAGAATATTTCTTTACTGGATTTTTGAGTTACACCTAAGAGTGACCTTCTGGTGAAAGCTAGAATGGCCTTAAATCCTTCGAAATTTTAAATTTAATAGCATTCTTCAATGCACAACAAAGAACTGCTAACTTTGCAAGAAAATAACAATATAAATATAAAATAATAATAAGAAGAAGAAAAGAAAAAAATGTTTATACGTATACAAAAGAATTCAAAATATTAATAACTAATAATAAAATTCAACAAGTGAAACAAGAAGTAGAGTAAGATAGGATTAGAGACGGTCGAAATCAAGTTGCAAGTATATTGATATTGATCCTAAAAATTTGCTGGCTTTGCAAGTTTGGGTGTATTTATAGTATTCGCCGTTCCTTTACATTATCAGGAGAACATATTGTACGAGAGACATTTGTAGAAGGCATTGAACTTCAGATTCTGTTAACGGGTAACTGTAAACGATTTGCATTTGAAACGCTAATGAATAAATCCACTCAATCGGCTATCGGCCAATCTCATTATAGTTATAGCATCAGCGAATTTCGTGCATAATTTATGGGCGACTAAGCGATAAAACAAACATGTTTTACATAATATAAGCCGTAGTGTCAAAAATCGGAAGCGCGTGTCGAATTTCACTCGCAGAAAAGCAAGCGTTCCGATTACCTTTTACGGACTGTTACTCTGACATGGATAACAATGCAAGAAAACTGCAAACAATATATTAAAAAAAGCAATATGCAATATAAAATACTTAAATTAACATCAAATGTGCGCCAAGAATAAAATTAATTCAAAAAATCCATGCAAACCGGTTACAGCATAATACGTAAGTATAATGCATATCAGCGACAGAACCGGTTGGATTTAAATTCTTATATATCGGCATTTTGCGTTGCCAGCGATATATAGTATACACACATATGTATATTAATATACAGGGCTTTTTTGAAGATATAGTACAGACATAATTAATATTGAGACAAGATAATGCATTGAGCTCTGAATCAACAATGACTCAATGCATAATCGAATTGCCAACCAGATTGTGTATTATCTTACTACCTATTGATTTCTAAACTTTGGATATTGTCAGCCCTCTAAAGAATAATTCTTATAATCAATCCATTATTTTGCAAACCACTCCACACATTAGTAATACTTTTCAAATAGTACAACAAAGTTCGACTTTATAAATGGGTTATGTACAAAATATAGTGTGAAAGATTTTAATTTCAATACTTCAGGAATAGATATTATTGTCGGCAAGATGGCAAAAGAATCAATGGCAGATTTGTTTTTTAAAAATAGAACAGAAGGAAAACAGAGATCAGAGCTAAGGGATTTCTTGTGTATACCTTAACAGAGTAATATTTAAACATCTCCACATCGTTAAGCACCCTCTATTTAGATCTGATGTAAAGCATGTACCTTAATAACAGCAATATGTTGCTGACACAAATTGTCACGCGGCAAAGTTTGTAAGCTTAAGTAGGAATTTATTCAAATTAAACTGCCATCAGAAATCGAGCTGAGCACTTAAAAGTGTGGCACAACACAACCCCAATGTGTGGCTGCAACACAGCAAAGATTTGTTGCAACACACTTCTGTGGTTTGGAACACATTTAATGTTGACAGGCGCTGGCAAACAAATTAATTTCAATTAAGTTTTGATTGAAGTTTATTTGAAAATCATGAACTGCCGCCAAATTACATTTTTTATATACTTATAAAGACAAAAATAAATAAATAATAAAAGAGGTACATCTTGTATTAACACTGCTGGCATCTCCCCAGTTGGAACGCAATGCTGACAAGCGTGAAGCATGTCAAATTCTTTAAGACCATTAAAAAAATGCCAAAAATGAAGCGCGTCGCAATATTTATAATAAACAACAACTCAACGCTTTTGGCCATATACTTACATACATACATACATATATAGTATACAAAACACGTAAGGTGAGCAGAAAATTAAAATAAAGAAAAAATCGCAAAGTTTATTGCCTGTCAGCCCAAATGTCGGCGGCTCAGTTTTGTAGCTGCCTTCGTCTTTGCAATTTTTTTCTTGTTTTTTTTTTTTGGGCCAACTTATTGAAAAGTCTTCCGCTTTGTAAGCTGGCCAATTGCAGCAGATAAGCAATCGCTGCGGCTTGTTCAGAGCGTTTTGGGCGCACGCTAATCACAAAGTTGCTGCCCGACTGATTTATGGCAAATTTCAAGTTAACACTTTTGCCTAAATTGAGTTATTTATTTCCACGTTGGCCCACTGCCTCTGCACATTTGCTATAGTTTTAGCGCGCATGAAGTCGTCACGTATTTGGCCATGGCATGGACCTGGACGCAGCTCCATCGCGACAGGTTCAGGCTGTGCTTATAGCCATAGACAGGAGCGGGCTTACTGCAGTAAGTGCCGAGCTGCATTCGAGATTTATTTCCATAGATTTTGGCAGTCTTGTTAATGAAGTTGCTGATTTATTGGCTCCAATCGTGGCGGAGCACAACATGAGTATTCCGACTAATATGATTTGTATTCGAAAATCGATTGGGACTTTGGCTGATTAGAAATTGCAGTTAGACTATTGAGTGAAATTTTTACCCCGGTACGCTTCTATCATATCTAACATTCACTGATTTAAACGTGGCATTACTATTTTAAATGTCTTGCTAAATCATCATAAATCAACTATAAAAAATAATAATTTAAAAGTAATCCAAGGATTAGGCTTAAAAATAAATAAATAAATAAAAATAAATAAAAAAAGGTTATAGTCATAAATATAATCTCCGGCCATGAAAGTACAAGTACATCAATGGGCCTTATAAGTATGTAGTATTACTTATGCTAAATATATTATATTTTTGCATTTTGTAATTAACTCATTCAAGTTTTTTAAAATTGTTTAAATGACCATGCTTTGCATACCATTCTTGTTTGCGATAATTCTTGATTAGGAAAATTATTCATCTCCTATATATATACTATTTCTAGCTACCAAAGCATGATCGTTTTTGATTTTTAAAGTGATGCGATCGACATAAAACTATTCTAATCTATTGATTTTCTTTTATTTTCAGATCTTGTGAAACTTCTTAACATAAGCGGTCCATTAAAGGTAATATTGCCCACACAAATATTAACAAAGCAATTAAAAACTCATTTGGGTCTAATTGGCAGTACAAATACTGCAAAGCGATTCAGCAAACAAACAAATGAAACCGCAGCTGAGTTCCAAATTTGCTAGAAATGTGCAAACAAATTTTCTGTCCAAACTATAAAAAAGCTAACACTGACTTGACGGGCCCAAGCATATTTTGGCATTCGTATTTAATACAATTGATTTGCCAAATATTTCCGTTTAGTCTGGTCTTTCCGCAACACTATCAGTTGTATTTGCGCGCCCCACGGACAAGTTCACAAACGGGCCAGGAAAGTGGCTAAAAAGTGTCATTAGCTACTCATTGCCTGCAATTATGGGCTATTCGATGTTTAGCGGAAATACTATTTAGAGTGTGCAAAACGTAAACTTAGCTAGCAGCTTTGAACCGTCCTTAGGAGCAATAAAATATTTTATCAGCTGTTATATATTTTTATGATTATGTTGTAAAGCGCCTTCTAACGTATGTGGGTATGTTTTATGACCACATTAAGCAGCAGCGATGTGGCCCATAAATGCCTTGCTTTGAGCGTATTATACGATATGTTATAATACATATTTTATGCTCCAGTTATTGGGAAACAATGTATAGGCATACATATACGTATGTAGCTTCAGTCAATGGTTAGAGACAATAAAAGCACATAATACTACTTTCGAAAACAATTAGCTGAAAGCATTTACATTGTGAGTTGATCGTACAAAACGTCCCAGCTGGGGTTCTGTCTCTTTTTCTTTACACTCCAATGCTATTGTCGTCGACGTTTTGGTCAACTGCACAAAGGAAATCACTCAGACGAACGTGTTGGTTTTTATTAAAAGAAAATTGACAAATGGTGACTAGAAAAACAGCAAGCACTGCATAATATCTAAATACATACACATGTATCTCCCTATGCATGTATTGGTTGTGAAAAATGGTGAAAACCAAAAGTGAAAATCTTTTTAAATTTAATTTGTGAAAACAAAAATCGTAGCAAGTTATAACCAAGTTACCTGCTTTTCTTACGAAATGAAGCGGAAAATATGCGCTAACCTGCAATGCATCAATTGAAAAATTAATCGGAATTAGAAACTTAGAAAAAAAGTGCGGTTTTAGTTACTCAGTTTTGAAAGAAGTGGAAGAAGAAAGTGGTTTATTTTATTTTTATTTCAGAAAATTGTCAATAATATTGATATAATTTTACATTTGAACAAAAGCATTGGATATGCATTGGAAAATGAGAAGAAATAGACTCTTTTTAACAAGTAAATATAGTAATTTATACAAAGCTGGTCCTTTGTTATCCAATTGTTATGTATATAGTCGCATGACACTATATGTAGAATTATCTAACTTTACATTTTGAAGTGCATTTGAGAAGAATAAATGTATAAAATATTTTTAGGGAATATCTTAGGAAAGTCGGATTTAATCTATATTTTCTTACCTCTTAGAAACCTATTTAGCATCTTATATTCTATTGTTCGTGCTTATTGGGGACACTATAAAAATCGGCTCTTTTATGCCCTGTACATGAAATTAGGTTTGTGCAATGTGAGAAATGGCAGGCAGAGTGAAGAGTGGCAGACTCCACAAAGAATATATACTCTTGATCAGCATGACAAGACGAGTCGATCTAGCCCGGTCTGTTTGACTGCCTGCCTGTCCGTTGACAAATTTTGTACACCTGCCTTATAATTTAAGTATAATGACTTGACATTAACATTTTGAAAAGTTCAAGAAATGAAAGCAGCTCAAAATATGACGATTTACACGTAACTTTTCATCGCTTGTGTACATTACTCATTAGAATATTCAAAATAAAATTTGAATATTTTGAATTGAAGTTCTCTGAAAATGATTTAGTGACTGTATAAGAATGTCAAGCATAGGTATATTCTTATATACTCTACATAATAGCTGCAGCTGCGAAACAAGTTTGTCTTTTTATTTTGTTGCTACAATTTGCTAGACTTTGAATTCTCGATATTATTTATAGCATTGTTCAGCTTTGTATACAAACAGCTTGTGTTAATTCTATATGTTCTGGTTCACAGTGTCTTTTGTTGGCAACACAATTAGATCAAATTGCCAATTGTTGTCAAACATTGCCGCCACGCGTAGCGAAACTTTTATCAATACTCGAACGGTCGTACCTTTACAGTATTTTGACACAAATCGACGGTCGACTGCAAAAGCCATAGAAAATCGGAGTCCACTCCACACAATAGTGTCCACAAAAATAAGCACATTAAGTTCATAAATTATTTGTTACAGATTTATGAGCAGTCCACTGCCGCGCGCTCGTAAAATGTCCATAAGCCACAAGCATTTCAAAGGTTAACACAGCCTTTATTTATTAAGAGGTAGCGTTTCGGGCTTAGGTAGGCGTTTTAGTAGCGCCATGACCTTTCTGAGCGCATACCAAGCTAGCCGTGATTACGAATTATGAATAATGCCCATAGCTCGTATATAGTATAGTAATGGAAATGTTACAGAACAGCTACTCGAACATGTATGTCCGTAGAATGCTCAGCGACTTTCACACGTCGCTCGGCACACAATAACCTGCATATTAAGCAAACAATCGATGCGAACTGCTCGCTGAAGAGGAACAAGAACACTTTCTAAATGCGCAGAGGCGAGCGCGCCGTTTTAAATACACAAATCATGGTCTGGGCACATACATACGAGCAGGTATGTATGTATGTATGTATACACACATACTATATACCCATGTATCTGGCAAGAAATTCTCGAGAATGCGCGTTCCAAAACTAAACAGCTTTAATTACCAATTTATGTGCAGCACGCTGTTTAGCTATTATATGGATTTTTATGATGTTTCCTATGCCATAACGTCGAGCTGCTGCTGCAGCAGCGATTTGATGCATCATCATGCCGCTGCGGTCGATCAGGCTGGTCAGGGCTAGAACCTGGTCTCTGGCCCCTGGTCCCTGGTCCTTGGTCTCTGTCATGCCGACTGGTCGCGTATCTCAGATTCTAAGCTGTAATCTACATCGACGGCGGCTACTGTTACCTCTGTTGTCAACGCAGCCGCTGATGTTGATGTCGATGCCAATGCGATGCTGATGCTGATGCTGCCGCAGCCCGGCACATTCTGGCCAGTCATGCTTAATTATTATTATTATCGATGTTTTATTTTTATGCTCTATAATTGCCGACCGTGCGGCGGCCGTGACTCGGTCTTTTGGGCGTTGCGTTTTGGTGCGTCGTGGTCTTTGGCGCAGCCTTCGCATATGAGCTCCGAACGAACGGCTTTGCTTAATTGATTTAATTGTTTAGTTCAACTAAATTCTAAATTACCTTTACAGTGTTGGAAGGCCGTTTGCTTCCGATGCTCTATCTAGTATACTTCAATTACTTCATAATGTACTTGTGAAAGTTTGTTTCCTAAGTCTTTTGTTTTTGGTTTGGTTTCTTTTCACAAATTATGCAATTGCTCAGGGCAGCTTTTATTAATATCTCTTAGTCGCTATCTAAGTGTTCGCTCAACACAAGCCACACATCTAGCAACTACCAACTAAAAACGAACAACAAACAACCGACCAACAAACTCAAAACACAGACAATAACAAACAAGCTCAACAAACAAAGCTGTTCGCCGCCGTACTATGGATAAAAATCGGTTGTTTACTTCAAATATATTTCGAATAAATTTGTTATCTTTGCCCCAGCACATTTAAATGTAAAGACAACTGTAGCTTTGCTTATTATAATTAAAAGAATTATATGATTCGACCAATATAGATTCGCGAAGTTCTCATAAGTTCGCGTGAGGAATTGGTTTGCAGTAGAAGTTTTTAGCTATCATAGCTCCTAAACGCTGTGGGTAGATATGAAAATATTTCAACCTAATGTTGAACAGTCGGAGTTGATGTCAAATTAAGAAATAATCTAATTATTGACTATCCATTGACTATGATTCAACTTATAAGGGAATAATGAAAAATCTAAAGCAACCACATTTATTAACCATTGATTCTTTTTGGTCATCAATTATTGTGAAATCGTGAGTAATTTATTAGATAAATAAATATTAGACTAATGACGTGAGTCATCGTCTGACAATTTTTTATACGTATTTTAATTGTTTTGATTCTAGTTTTGAAGAGCGCTCGCATTCGTGATTGCTTCTGTGAAGCTTAGGTTTCTAAAAAAATAACACATATGGTATTTTAAAGCTGCAGTCCCTTAATTTGTTAAATTTTTACATTTTAAGCTCCTTCGATATACTTATATTGATATGTGTTTATTTAAAAACGTAGTTTCAAGACATCCTTAATGGAATACCCCATGGATTATTAAAGTAGAGACGCAAATTACCTCTTCCCTGATTGCTAAACATCCATGAACATTTTAAAAACAAAAAATAATATAAATAGGTAAATAAATAAAAAAAATAAATAAAAAGGCACAGTCATATAAACGCGATAATAAGTTAATCCAAATCAAAAGGGTGCGTTTTTTCGCACTTTAAATATAATTTGAAATTTTATGAAACTAAACGGACAGGTGAAAAATTGTTTGATTAATTGAGAGTACGATACAGTAAATGGATATCTGTTGCAATTTTTGACTACTGTGCTGCGACAAATGTTAGGGAGACAGGCGTTCAGTTGGTGTTTTGAAATTTATTATATAAGCCGCAGTGTTGGCTACAGTGCTGGAGCTGGAGCTGATGCTGGCAATCTTTAAAAATCTCGCGCACTCATCAACAACATCTCAAAAGCTTTCATACATCAAAGTGGCTGCCAGCCAGACGAGGTCCAACTGTCCCGCAGTCTGGGGCAATGGCAAAGACGGAGGCGAGGGTGCCTGCATTCAGGCCTGCAAACATCAAGGCGTATCGCATAAAATCACAAAAACTATCTAAACAGGAAACTCGACAACAGCCAGAACAACAACAAAAGCCACAACGACGGCGTCGGCGAGTAAATTAAAACAAAACGTT